AGATTTCTGTTTCCAGAAACTCCAATTTACTTACCTTTCGGTGTGGCTGGGCTTCTTATAGACGACTGTTCCAAGAGCATTTGTCTCTTTACAGCTAGGATGTTCGAAGCAAGACTCTACGTAGAAAGTGAATTGTTCCCACGAAGTGAATCTGCGATCACTCTGCATTTCCCCCTAAAGACGTGCCACTTACTCCAGCGGGTCCATGCAGTTGATCAGCTGATTATTCATCAGTTGATTCAGTTGATTATTCTGTTTCACACCATTTTGTACTTCCAGATCCATTGCAACAGATGCATTTCTCATAAAGTTTGATTTTGAGGTGCCCATTAAAAAGCAAGCTATCAGACTTGTGCTGCAAACAGAAGCCGTCAGGGGAGATCGCAGTCCGTTTTCCGTGCTAAGCGATGGTTATTGAAAATGGTAAAAGAATATCCAAAAATTGTCAGCGCTTACTTTACGAGCTAATATAAAATCTTAAGCCCATCACTTATGAATGCAGTCAGAATTGAAACAGCCGTTGTTTTCACTCGACTTATTGAGATGAGTACTTAGACTTGCTTTCGATATTTAAAATTGAACATGTTAATTGGAAACCTTGCCGTTGCTGGTCCGAAGCCCGGTTCAGAAAGCAGAAAGGTTGGAGACCGTGGCGAAGTCTCTCAAAACGTTCGCCATCTCTGACTCATTGCATCGACGCCACCGAAAAGTATACCGGCTTGGTCGTCGCCTGGATAACCAAGAGCCGCGCAGGCTATCGGGGGACTCAGGCAGACTTAAAAATGTCGGCGATTAGAACCTGCTCATCGTCCTCTGCCAGCAGGAAAAAACAGCCCAATAATGGCTGGCGAAGACCGACAGAATGATGACCAAGATACCAGTCAGTAACGGAGTCGCTAACCGTTCTCAACGGAGCAGACAGTCAGCGCGATGCCATTACAGCACGTCAGAAAAGGCTCCAGGAGAAAGTCACCGCCAGTGGCAGCATACAGTCGGAAATAGAAATATATCCTTACTCAGAGGCAAAGAACAAGAGATAGTTGATGAGGCCATAAAGTACAAACTCGACATTATTATACTCTAATCAACGAATCACTAACGCTCTGGAATCAT